TGATGTTCATGTTTCCTGAACTTGAGCATACATCAGAATCTCCTGCAGGCTTGTGCAGCACATAATGCAGAGACCCACTCAGAGTTTCTGAGTCAGTAATTGTGGGGTGAGGCCTGAGGATCTGCATTCCTCACAAGTCTCAAGATAGTAATGATGATGCTGGTGCAGTGACCACGCTTTGAGAAACACTATTTTAGAACAACATATTCCTATGAATTGAAAATTTTATGTTGTTAAAAAAGTATCAATAAACTGGTATGTGTGATGGTGGGACTGAGGGAAAATTGAGGAGTAGGCAGAGGGCTTTTGCCAGCTAGGAGGGGAAGCTAGGGCCTGCCGGATGCCCTGACTTCTGCATCCCTGACCTTCTTCTATATTTCTATCCACCCTAGACCCCAGGGTCATCTCAGTTCCATGCCTTTAAACTCACATTATAGCCCTGTGTGAGGAGATCAGCTCCAGTGGAAAAGTGGGCACAGGCACTGCCAAGGCCATCTCCCTTGTCACATTCCTTTGTCACATCTCCCTTGTTGTCATTCAGAGCCCCAGGGACATCCCCCATCACTCTTGTTACCCATTTGGGCTTCTCCTGGGCTCTTCATCTTTTTAATGGTCCAACTGCAGGGTCACAGTCCCACAGTTTAGCCCTGATGACCTTCCTGGCCATTTTTGCTTTTGCATCCTAACAGGGCTGGCAGTAGCGTGAGGACAGGCCTATCTCCTAGTCTCCTCCGCAGAGCTGGAGTAAAGGCAGAAAGTGCCAGTTTGGGAGTGGGGAAGATTATTCCCTTACCTTGTCCTTTCTTTGGCTTCTTCCCCACCAATCTCGCCCCCAAAGGCCAAGTCTGATTCCCTGTAAGCATGAGGCTCCATCTGCACCACTTCCACGTCAGGATGAGGGGGAGAATGGAAAGCCTGGACTCTCAGAGACACTCCCAAGGCACTTCAGCCTGAGAGAGGTCTACTCACTGATGGCTTATGATTCTTTCCACCAAAACCTCCACCTCCACGTCTCCCTCTCTTCCCCCACCATCCCTCTGTCCATCTACTAGCTCTCCTGCATCTGCCTGTGAAAAGCACACAGAAATATGTGCACATACACGCATACAGGGGCGGAACTGTGTAGAGAACTTCAGTCAAGCATGATCGGTTGGAAGGTTGATAGGATGTTTGCACATGAAGATAGCAAGGTGATCACTTGCAATGATGCAGCCGGGCCACATGTTTGTCAACAAGGTGTGATATAGCAAAGGAGGGCAAAACAACAAGCCATTCAAAATGGCAGCCTCCCTCTAGGCAACGAAGTGACTTTTAAAGTGTTATTGGAAGAAGGAAAATGCTTCGGAGATAGTCATTTACAAAGCTCCAGCTCTCTTTGGAGGTTTCAGGTTGCACAGTCAAATTGAAGCAGATGGCACCTGGGTATTCATTTACTGGGAAGCTGGAAGAGCCATAATGTGAGCCCTGCTGTGGGCTGCACAGAGGGACAGGTGCTGATTGCCACTGCTGTGAATATCTGCTTCTTTGGGCTTTATGCTTACTCTGCCAACATCACAACTTCCTTTACAAATGATAAGAAGCTCTTGCATATGCACAGAGCTCAGTGGATCACATAGCGCCTCTCCAGCTTTCCATTGTATCTGGCCCTATTGGTAACCGCAGGAGTTGAACAGCCCAGCCCTTACACCTCTGTTCATAGATGGGGAAAGAGATGCTGCCCGGTCCCACAACTGGACAGAGGCTGCTGTGTGCCTGACAAGGGACTTGCACCCTGGCTGCCCTGTCTCTTTAGCCCCTGTTGGACTCGTCCCATAAGCACTAACACTAAGGCACTTTTACCTGCAGGGAAAACCCACCATTCAAATCTGAAAAACCCTAGTGCCAACTCTCACCTTTGTTCCACCCTGGGAAAGCGAACCCCACACAGCTGGAGCACTTCCCGACATCCCTGGCAGTTTCCAGCCTTGACCCCAGGCCTCAGTTGGTCCCAGGTAACCCTCGGTTACCAAAGAGCATGTGTTACTCAGCAGCTAGACTCTTTCTGGATTATGAGTGAGAAAACAAATAAAAATAAGCTTCTAACATGTGCCTGCCTGAAATACAGTTCATAAAGCCTTAACAATCACATGTATGAGCATTTGAGGGTCCTAGCAGGCTTCCCGGCAGCCACGAAAGCCTGCAGAGGAAACAAAAAATGTACAAATGAGCTCCGTGAAGGCCTGTGATCATGTAGAGAGAAATTAAGGTGGCCGGCCGGAGGGGACACAAAAGACTACATGATACAGTACTTTTGTTTAAAGCCAAGTTTAGCTGCAGCTTCCTTGGAAAAACCTCCTACATTATCTTGATCCCCCAACCTCCTGCACACATGTGCACAGGCACAGTATGTCTTCCACACAGGGATGCACGCACAGACAAGTGCACCCAGAGGTGCTCCCATTCACACACACACTGACCACACAGACCCACACACAGAGACACACCTACTCACGTGCGCGCACACACACACACACACACACACACCAACGGTGGTAGGCCCCTTCTCTCTGCTCTCTTACAACTTGGCAGCCACCTGTTGGAACTCTTAGCCTACTGGCCTACAAATGCCTGCTCCTAGCACGTGTCCCAACTGCCTGCTGGAAAGGGCCCAGAGAGAGGGTATCAGCATGTATCTCGAAAGTGCTTCTGCTGCTGCTGAGAGCATGTGTGTGTGTGAGATGTGGATGTATATAGGTATACGCATGTGTGACCATGAGTATATCTTCATAGATGTCCATCTATGAGTGTGTCGGATACAGACATGTATGTGTGAGGATGTGTGTTTGTATCTGAGTTTATCGGCACAAAATGTAGATGTTTATATATGTATGTGGGGGGTGTGGGCGTATGTGGGTGTGTGTCTACATGTCTGTGACTAGGTGTGTATGTACAAGTGGGGATGGTAGGGGAGAGTATATACACATGAATTTGTGGAGGTATGCCTGTGTATGCATATGTGTGTGTGGGACTGTAAGACTGTATATCCAAGTGTGTGTGTGTGTGTGTGTGTGTGTGTGTTGAAAGTGCAGTTGAATAGTGGATGTGTGGCTATACCCAGGAGTATTTGCATATGTATGTGGGGGACTGCAGGTGTGTGTATACATGTGTGCAAGTGCATGTGATCTGTGTGTATGTGTCGGGGTTGCAGCTAAGTGTGTGGGTGTGCATTCATACTGGGTGTGTCTGTACAGGAGTATGTTTGTGCATGTTGAGAGTGTCAATGTGTGCCTCCCTCTGTGTCGAGGTCCAGTTATACCTGCACAGGTGCTGATGGCAGGGAGGTACATCTGTGCATATGCGTGCACGTGAGTGTGTATAGGGACATGTCTGGGGAGTAGTGCATAGGTTTTGCTCAGGCCTTTGCATCCCACAGCCCCCTGAACCAGCCATTAAACCCCGCATTCCTTTCCTTAGTTTCTACATGTGTAAAATGAGGACAGTAACAATTTCTACCTCACAAGGTGGTTGAGACTCTAAATGAGGCAAATGGGAGCCATTGCTATTGTTTTCCCCCTGAGCCAGTACTTCCTGAGCTCTTCTGATGAGTGCTCAAGACCTCACTAGGGCTTCTCTCCTGGCCAAACTTCCCAACATCAGATCTCTCCCAAAGGACCAACTTGGCTGGCCTCAGAAGAACCCCGACGTGGACTCAGGAGAGGGAATGCGCCTACTTTTTGCATTTGGCCTGGCAATGCTGCAGGCAAAAGCAGAGGGAGGCTGCAGGGTCTGGGGTTCATTTCTCGGTTCCCTGGTCCCCAATTTCCTTTAGCCTGGTCTGCCTAGAGCCCCAAATTTGGGTTCTTCCCATCAGGACAATCACAGCTCCTCAGCCATCGACTTCTGTACTTCAGCAGTTTGAACAAGGCTGAGCAAAGAAACACTGAATTTAATAAAGCCCAGGAACTGGAGAGCTCTCCAAGCCAAATCAATCCTCAATGTGTTTTTAATTAAGTTATAGCCCTTGTGATTAAAGAGTGCGAATTTCATTACTGTGACCATTTATCAAAGAGCATACCCGCCGAACCTTTCCAACAGGCAAGGAAGAAGGCTTTTGATTTTCATCAACACCAAGTGCCTTACTTATATCTCAACTGACTCATTGCAAATTGTCTCTCCTCCCAAGCTGCCACCAACTCGGCAGGGACAAAACAGAGCTGGCTCCAAGTTGCCCATCAATAGGCTAAGGCAGGTGAGTACAAAACTTCCGATTTAGTTCTAGTTCTCCTCACAAGCCAAACCCAGGAGTCAAGATGCATAGTTTTTAGGAGCCTGAGCATTCACAAGTGCTGGAGTTGGTCTGCCCTGAACAGTGAATGGTACACTGAAAATGTCCTGACCATGTGGCCATGTGGCTCATGTGGCCATGGGACTGAATGAGGGCTGGAGGGATAAAGAAGAAGGGTACCACATCGGATATTAGTAATTAAGAGGCAGCCTCAGAGATTCTGTCTGTGCTAGGTTTGAGATGTGTGTATGCGTGTGCTCTTTGTGTTTTGAAAAAAATTTTGAAGTATTCTATACAGAAAAGCACCAACTCATGCACATACAACTAGGTGCATTTTAGGAAGTGAGCACACCCATATAAATGCAATCCAGATTTAAAAACCAGAACTTCGACACTTCCCGGAAAGGCCCATATTGTCCCTGATGGTCACCCCTCTCCTATGGAAGCCACTGAGTTTCAAGACACTTGGCAGATACAAGATGGATGCAGCTGCTGCCAGCATAACAGGGGCCTACTGTTTTATAGTTGATTTATTTTTTAAAGATGCATTAGAGTTAATGTTTTTCATTTTTATTTTTTACTAGTCCATGTTTGCAGTACATAATGATGACATTCCTCATGGGGTATTGGTACATGTACAGAACACATCTTAATGCTTTTTTCATCTCCTTCCCCTCCCTTCCTTCCTTTCTCCCTCCATCTCTTGATCCAGTATACAAAAACCATAAAGACATAGTATAGTAAAAACATAAACCAGTAGCATAGTTGTTTATTATCACTATGAAGTATTACATATTGTACATAATGTATGCTATACTTTTAGACAACTGGAAGCTCAGTGAATTTATTTACACTGATATTACCACAAATATATAATTAGTGTATCATGCTCTGACATTATAGTAGTTACTATGTCACTAGGTGATAGGGATATTTCAGCTTCATTATAACCCTATGGGACCACTCTTGCAAATGTTGTCCACAGTTAACCAAAACATTATTATATGACACATGACTGTATATGCCTTATCTGTGCTTATAATTATAATGTTCAGCTACCATAGATACTACTACCCTGCCATACTGATTTCCAAAGTGGTTGTACAATTTGTACCCCTACCCCCGGTCCATGAGAAAGCTGGTTGGTCTACACCCTCATCAGCATGTGGCATGGTCTGCATTTTTCATCTTAGCCATTCTAGTGGTACATAGTTTAGGGTTGCATTTCTTGGGTAGCATACTCTAAGATAAATGATAGCATGCAAGAAGTTTACTGCAGTCAAAGAGGCAGGGGCTGGGGTGGCAGAAAGCTGGTGTGATGCATCCTTTCCGGTTTCAGCTCCTTGGAGTTCATCGGGAAGAAGCAGAAGTTATTTACATACTCTGACTAATCCTTTGGGATATACATTTTTACATATTTCTGAATCTATATCTCAAAGGACTATCCAGAATATATAATACACACATAAAGAACTCCTACTGTCTGTAAGAAAAGACAAATATCCTAATCGAAAGGAAAGGTTGGGTTGCAAAGCAGTCACACCAAAGACCGCAGTCAGTCCCACGGAGAACTCTGAAACTGGGATGATCTCTTAGAATTGTCTTAAATTGGGGCTGGAGAATGAGCTTGCATGCTTGAATGCAGGCTTCTCCTAAGGGAGAGGGGCCTTCGGGCCAGGCAGATCTTTTCAGCAGAGGGCAGTCACTAAGAAGAGGAACTAGGCTGCGAGCCTCAGCAGCCAACACTCCCAGCAGCCGGGGAGAGCTTTGGTTCCAAAGGTGGAAGGGGGGACACTACAGAGGCTACTGTGGTACTGGCATTGCTTTGTGAATTTTGCATTTCTCTGATGAATCTTGGAGGTCAACATCTTTCGGCCATTTGGGTAACATTTTTCCTGAAATGTTTATTCAGGTGTTTTTAAAAAATTCTATTGGGATACTGGTCTTTTTCTCAATGATTTGTGGAAATGTTTCTTTTATTTTTCCTGAAAGAGTTCCTTTTTTGGTGGCAATGATTAGGGAAGAGGCAGGCACATAACCCAGGTGCCTGGCTGGGGGGTACAGTAAGGGCAACAGCCCAGACCTAAGGTGGGTGAAGGGTGCTCTCAGCTACAGGCCTCAGGCCCAGGACAGAAGGGGATGTCAGGCATTGGCTGCTAAGGCTGCTTGGTTCCTGCAGGGGAGAGAAATTGGTGAGTCAAGTTTTACCCATCCACAGTGTGCTCAGGGGACCAAGAAGGCAGCTTCTGAATTCTCCTTCCTCGCAGTTGCAGTCCAGCTCCAAGGGAGTCTGATTTGGTGCCTACAGTTTTACTAGGCAATAGGAATTCTTCAGCTTTAGTGCCATCTCATGGGACCACCATTGAATTGGTGGTCTGCCATTGACCAAAACATTGTTATATGTATATGCTTTTCTCCATCTGATAAGTGCTTTTCTTGGCCTCAAGGAAGGACAACATGAAGAAGGCCACACCACTTGCGGACCTGGCACCAGCCCAGTGTCCCCAGGGCAGCTGATTCTGGGGCTCCCGGCTGTGATTGTCCTAGGTTCCTCCCTGAGGTGGTGGTGCTCAGCCAGGCCTGACTTTGAGCAGCTGGAGACAGAGCAAGCTTCCCTGACTAAGTCGAGCTACACAAGTGTCCTGGCCCTTGTGGTCAACATTACTCTCGCACACAGCTACAGAGTTTGAGAACTCTGTCTCCCTCCATGCAGGGCTCATGGACACCTTGGACAGCAGGTCAGATGTTCAGGCAGAACAGGACGCTCCACTTCAAGCTCTGAGTGCTTTTACCAGCTCAAGCAAGCTGGGCAGACAAGAGGAGGCAGCAGCTGCTGCCACAGAGTGCAGCCCACAGGTGGGGTGCAGCCATGGATGCCACGGAGCGGGCGGGTGGCAGAAAGCTGGTGTGATGCATCCTTTCTGTGATTCAGCTCCCTGAAGTTTGTAGAGAGCGACCAGGAGTCATTTATATACTCTGACTAGTACTTTGGGATATACAGCTCACATATTTCCCAATCTATATCCCAAAGTACTATCCAGCATATATAATATATATTATATTTACAACGAATTCCTACAAGTCTGTAAGAAAAGACAAATAACCTAATAGAAAATTTGACAGAGGATTTGAATATTCAAGGTATGATTGAAAAATGTGGTGTTTAAATTTTTAAAAATCATCCAAAGACATATTGCCATAAATTCCTTCCAAATATCCCCTCTTGCTTCAAATACACTTATCCTATCTTTCTGGTCACTTTCTGAAGCAGTTCAGGAGGTTCTCTTTCATGAGTGTCTTTAGATGTGCTGCTGTGGCTGCCTCAATGTCCTGAATGGATTCAAAATCTTTACCTTTCACAGTCATTTTGACTTTGGGGAAGAGCCACAAACCACCCAGTGTCAGATCCAGTGAATAAGGTGGATGAAGACCCACCATAATGTTTTTATGCACCTCCCTTTCCATTGGATGGCACTTGGCAGCAGTCACTGTACTTTTTGATTACTCCCGGTAAAGACACTCAGGAAAGAGGCTTCAGAAACTGGTTCAGAAAGTGCCAAGAGGCCAGTCCCAGCACGCGGAAGGAGGCTCCTCTGCCACCGTTCCACGCTCCTAGGGCAGAGAAGGTAAGCCAGTCCCAGCACCCGGAAGGAGGCTCCCCCACCGCCATTTAACATTCCTAGGGCAGAGAAGGTGAGCCACATGGGCACCAGAAGCACCCCCTCCCCCTGCTGTGGAAATGAGAAGACACGTAAACAAACCTCAAAAACAGACTTCCAGATCACCTATAACAACCCCAAAGGGAAACGAGATGGAACAATCTGATACTCATGATACTCAACCACCTGGACTCTCTGAATTGGCAACAAAAGAGGATCTGGGAAAAATGAAATCAGAAATAATTTCTCAGATAACATCAAAGATTGTGCTCATAGTGCAAGACATGATTAATAAACCTAGAGAGCACACAGATAAAAAATAGAGGATCTTAGGAACATGATAGAATCCCAACATAGGAAACAAATGGAATCCATAAAACAGATGCAAACAGATTTCCAGGAGATTAAAAACTCCGTCAAATGTCTGTGCAGCAGAATGAACCAATGTGAGGACAGAATTTTAGATATAGAAGATAGGATTGCAATTAGTGACCAGGAAAAGAAAAATTGCTTTAAAAT